TTGATGAAGATCGTCGAAAGACCATTGACCAACTTTCTGAGGAAACGAACATCACATGGAGCACGGTCCAGCGAATTTTAACCGAAGGTTTGCACGTGAGATGGGTGTCTGCAAAATTTGTTCCTCGCTTGCTCGGAGATGACCAAAGAGAAAACCGCGTGAATGTTTGCCGCAACTTGAAGAGTGAAGTGCAGTTTTCCCTAACAGAAAGCAAAATTTCATGCACACTCTTTGTTCCTTCTGGTCGGCCATCTCACTAATCGCCAAAGGGTTGAAACAGGAACGCACACAACAGAGCACCACAGACAAACCACTTAACTCAGACTGACGCCAGCTCACTAACAGTCGCGGAAGACCCCCAGCTAACACCACCTAGCAGCACAACTCGTAACTACAAAGCATGCGCGCGCAACAGGTCGTTTCCGGTTATTTTTGGGTCCCCCTTCGTACAGTTTCTGCACAAAATGTTTCTGCAGTATAAATGCATGCTGCTGACATCCTGCCTTACTGTGTCTTATCTGGCAAAAGGGGTGGAAGTTTATGTTTGTATTGCACATTCTCCAGCCACTTTGGAACCTTTCTGTATGCACGAGTGTGGTCGAAGTCTTATCGTACTTTGTCCTTCAGAACCTCTGACTGTGTATATCTCGGACTAGTCACACAGAGGTACTGTTTTTGGAATAGCCAAGCATTGCCAGAACTTTCAAGCCTATCCCCTTGCTTCCTCACCACTTTCAAAGTCGTCTGTACCACAGTCTGAATTGGTGTCATTTATCAGCTCTCTCTCAATTTTGGCTTCTTTCATGTGAAATGAAGCCATGGTGGATAGTTGAAATTGCGATGTTTTATAAGCGTTATGATTAGAGGAGGCCACTCAACATCACTGGCTGACTTCCTCTAATACGAGACTGAGGTGTTGTGGGTGCTCTTTGCGTGGGAAACGAAGTTACATCCGGACAAAGTGCATGAATTGCAATGTCGGACTCTGCATTCAGTTAGATGATGCAGGAGGGAAGACTGTCTACTTATAAAGTGGGTGCCCAAAAATAATATAAGTAGAACAAGAATTTCTATCTTAAAATTAGATTTTTAAACACTGTGTGCACGCATGGACTGCGCGTACCCATACAGCGTCGCACGGCCACTCGGCTACACTTTATAGAGGTCTCCATATGGTGTTGCTAGGTTCTTAAAGGTTAAATCAACAAGATACAAAAATATCTTAGTCAAATGATGAATGTAATGACTATTGTTTATCTAAAATATTTCTTTATGCATGGTAGAATGTCGGAGATTTGCTTATAACTTAATTGTCCAGTTCTAAACAGTGATTTTGTTTCTTGAAATACCCCTGAGGGTTGCAGAGTCACAGCCTATTCATAGTTTTGTCCAAGCAATCATTCTTACCTCACTGTCCCATAAAGTATCAAAATATGACTGAATCATATGATAAGCCCCAAATTCATCTTATCACATCAGCCCTTTTATAAAATACACACACCTGAAACCTCATGATTTAATCACAATATTTTATTTTAAAAAAAATCAATTCAGTAATGAAAATAATCAATTTTGTTTTTCTCAAATGTTTCACTAGGCATCAAAGAATGTCAGAAATTCAGTTGTAATTGAATCATCCACCTTCGAATGGTGATATTACGCCTTTTGTGACCCAGAGGGTTGTAGTCATCTCTAAATGTTTGTAGTTTTCCCCAGTCAGATACTCTTCCATTGTTGTTCCATAAAGTACCAATGGAAGACAGAGGTTTGTAATGATGCTTCAAAAACACGCTCATCTCACTGACAATTTCTGAAAATCCACATTTATGAACGTAAGGTTTTTTTCAAGATCCTGTATCAGCATTCACCTGGAGAATCTGAGAAATGCAAAGAAATACCTCAGGATAAATGGCATGCTCACCGAGATAAGAACCAGGCATCTGTAATATGTCAGACATGACATCTCCTTCTGTTACACAAACAGCTGAGTACAGTGCAGTTCAGTGTGGTCTGATCATTAGGAATTGTGTGTCTTCTTGTAAACTTTGAGACTAACTAATGCCATAGATTAATGCATTTAATTTGTTAATATATGTATTTTCTGTGTGCTGCATCTATTACCTTCATATGGTGATTATGCTGCATAATCTTAACTAGGTGTGTTATATTGTCATAGATACTGAAGAACAGATAAGCAAGCAAGCCTGCAAAATGTACTTATATGTATCAGAGTCAAGTTTTCTTCAAGTGTTTTCCTTCTGTACTGAGCTTCATTGAAACTGAAATTTTCAACCAAACACATGACCAGACATGCATACTTACATAGCTGTATATCAGACATAGATCTGGTCAGTTTTTTTTTTATATACAGGGTTGCATTTCAGAACAGTCACAGGTAAGATATGAGGGGGGACCCAAAAATAACCGGAAACGACCTGTTGCGCGCGCATGCT